CCCCCCTTTCTGCTCCTCAGCATCCCACAGTTCTGATCCCCAGAATCCCTCTTTTCCAGTGCTCACTGTGCCACCTTTCTTATCCTCACCATCCCTCCTTTCTGCTCCTCAGAATCCCACTTTTTTCAGCGTCCTCAGCATCCCACCTTGTTGATCCTCAGAATCCCACTTTTCTGGTCCTCAGAATCCCACTTTTCTGGTCCTCAGCATCCCACTTTTCCATTCAGCAGCACCATCCCCGCCTCACCAGCCGGCACCATCCCACCTTTCCAGCCAGCACCATCCCATCCCACAGTGCCAGCTGGAACCATCCCTCCTTCCCAGATGGCAGCACCATCCCACCTCTCCAGCTGGGAGCATCCTGCCTTTCCAGCCAATATCCCATCCCACCTCTCCAGCTGGGAGCATCCTGCCTTTCCAGCCAATATCCCATCCCGCCTCTCCAGCTGGGAGCATCCTGCCTTTCCAGCCAATATCCAATCCTGCCTCTCCAGCTGGGAGCATCCCGCATTTCCAGGCAGCATCATCCCACCTCTCCAGCTGGTCCCATCCCTCCTTGCTGGTCTGTGACTTCCCGCCTCCCTGGCCGGAAGCACCATCCCAACTTCTCCATCTGGAAACATCCCACATTTCCAGTTGGCAGCGTTATCCCACCTCACTGCGTGGAAGCATCCCACCTTTCTGGTTGGAAATGTTATCCCACCTCACTGGATGGCAGCATCCTCCCTCTCCAGCAGGAAGCATCCCACATTTCCAGTTGGCATCATCCCACCTCACCACCTGGGGACATCCGGCCTTTCCGGTCGGAAGCGTTATCCCACCTCTCCAGCTGGCATCGTGCCTGGAAGCATCCCGACTTTCCAGTCAGAAGCATCATCCCACTTCTCCAGCTGGAGACATCCCATATTTCCAATTGGAAGTGCTATCCCACCTCTCCAGCAGGAAACATCCCACCTTTCAGTCAGGACCATCATCCCACCTCTGTGGCTGAAAACATCCGGCCTTTCCGGTTGGAAGCATTATCCCACCTTTCCAGCTGGCATCATCCCACCTCACTGCCTGGAGACATCCCGCCCTTCCAGTCAGAAGCATCATCCCAACTTCTCCAGCTGGAGACATCCCACATTTCCAGTCAAGACCATTATCCCACCCCAATGCCTGGAAGCATCCCACCTTTCCAGTCAGAAGCAATATCCCACCTCACTGGCTGGAAGTATTATCCCACTTCTCCAGCTGGAAGCATCCCACATTTCCAGTCAGGACCATCATCCCACCTCAATAGTTGGAAGCATCCCACATTTCCATTTGGAAGTGTTATCCCACCTCACTGGACGGTGGCATCCCACCTTTCCAGTCGGCATCATCCCACCTCACTGCCTGGGAATATTCAGCCTTTCTGGTTGGAGCCATTATCCCACCTCTCCAGCTGGAAAGATCCCACATTTCCAGTCATCACTATCCCATTTCTCCCACTGGAAGCATCCTGCATTTCCAGTCGGGACCATTATCCCATCCCACTATCCAGAAGCCTCATCCTGCTTTTCCAGCAACATTCCACCTTTCCAGCTGGCACAGCCATCCCTCCGTGGTGGAGAAGAGCATCCCAGCACCATCCCACTTTCCACCTGGCAACATTCCCTCTTCCAGGAGATCCATCCCATCTTCTGGC